AGATAAATGGTGAAATATTACGACACTCGTCTTTTATATTGATGTACTTACACAAGGTAGGAACCTACAGGAGAACAATTATCTATGATGTACTTACACAAGGTAGGAAAATATAAAAGACGAGTGTCGTAATATTTCACCATTTATCTGAAAGATGAGATTGGTCAAATTTGAGGGTGAATACCCTAAATTTATCTGGTTAATATCACACTTTTAAGGAAAACAAAGGTTATGTGTGGTGTGTTACATGTATGTGGCAACAACAGTGAGAGTTAAATTTGTTCTAGACATATTTAAACTCTGTGAAAACATCTCTATCTATGATATAATCAAGTTAAAAAATGTGAAACTGTAACACTAAACATCGCCATATCGTACATTGTAGTAACAACTTCACCATTACTGTAACACTAAACATGGTATATTGTCTTGAGTGGCATTTATGATACCACAGTATGTGGACTGGTCAGTAAATAATAAATGTTAGCTTCTGAAATTGATAGAACCAATGTTTGGATAAAAAAAAACATTCTTATTTATGTCTTTATAAATTAAATAACACTTAACTGAGTATTAGTATATGATTTATAATATAATAGATTAGTACAACATCACAGAGTAGAGAACCAAGGATTCTAATGTGAAGTTTATAAAACTTAAGAAGAAGCAACAAACATGGATTTATTTATAGTTTCTTTTGTTGACGTTTGAATTCGTGATAATCTTTTTCTGTTATATTATAGCTGTTTTAAAACTACAGGAATATTCTTATGTGAGAATACTTAAAGTAGGGTTAGCTAAGAGTTCTGCAATGGTAAACTATTCAGATGACAGAAAAGCTCATTTATTTGTGTTTGTACTAGTAAATTTATTATTATTAAAACAACATCAACAACTACGAGTACTTTAATTATCGAAAACAAACTAATTATTCATAGAAATTGAGTTTTATCAAAACATGGTTAGTACAGTACTGCCTATATCATTATAGGCCTATTTCTACAGGTCAACATTTTTACTCCACGTTCGTGTTTTAAACTATTTTCTCGGCTACACATAAAGAAATAATTGATTAAAATAAAACATGTTAGACCTATTCAGATACATAAAATGAAACTTTCTGATCAATGATATTCTTAAAAAATTCCTGTGTCATTTCTTTCTTTCATATGTTTCAATGTTTTCTTTCTGTGTATATAAGGGTTTGTATGAACGTAAGAGACAAAATGCCGTTACTAGTTATAGAATAACGCAGACACAAGTCGACAATTATAATTTTATTGAAAAAATACCCCTGTTGATTATATTTAAATAATTAAAAGCAGAAACTCTAAGTATTTGTCAATATGTTGTAAAAACAGTGTTTCAAAACAAAATTTCCGAAAATTCAATACTTAAAATATGATATGAATATTACACTCAATTATATAATTCTTTTCAAGAACAAATTATATATTATATAGAAAATATGTATCAATTGTTTGTTTGTTTTTAGAGAAAAAGTCACATTGAACTATCTGCGGTGTCCACCGCGGGAAATCGATCCCCGAATTTAGCGTGAACTTATCGCTCTCTTATCGGGGACATATATATATATATCAAATATCATACAATTATCTTAAGTATTTTAAGTGTGAGAAAACAAATCATGACCACAAGGATGACATCATGTCACCTTTGCGGTTTTGATAGGGGTAACAGGAAAGAACTTGGTTTTAAATACAAAACAATAACAAAAAGATAACAAAGCCAAGTTGTTCATGCCACTATCCTCGCACACGTGACCTAGAGCCATACGAACGTGTTCGAGCACAAGGATGTGGAAGATCCGAGCTATTACCCAATTCACTGACAGAAATGGGAGCCACCAGTCTCAATACATTACAGTGAAGTAACATGTAACTTCCTTGTAAGAGGGTATGTCTAATGATAAAATCGTACATGCATCAAACCGAACCGAAAGAAAAATTTACATATTACATTTCTTCCCTTTTATATTTCCAGGCCATCCCTAATTTCAAACTAAAAAAAATCAAATTCTAATCACACGTCGCTTCAGAAATCGTAATAGTTTATCTCACCATTTGGCCACTTGCTCAACACCAGTAACAAGTATTACATTTACAAAACAATAAAATAGAATATTTTCTCAGCTTTGTTTGTAATTAAGCACAAAGCTACACAATGGGCTATCTGTGCTCTGCCCACCATGGGTATCGAAACCCGTATTCTAGCATTGTAAGTCCGTAGACATGCCGCTGTGCTACTGGGGGCTTTTCTCAGCTCATACACTTCCTTTAGGGAGGTGTAGTCGAACACACTACACAGTACCGGCAAAGGAGCCCTTTAACAATGAAATATATATATAAATATAACCCTTTAACAAAGTTCACTTACGCCCTTTATAAAAGAGTTGCTAACAATATCACACAACACTACAAACAAAAATATCCTTTAACAAAGAAATTCGTGTTCTCTTTAGGAAGGGACGCTTAAAAAAATGACAATAACCCTTTAAAATAGATGAACACAAAATAAAACCATTTGGCATTACAGATCAGAGTACAGCAAAAGTAATTATTTCATATAATAAAAACACATCGAAATACCCTTTGATGGAGAAAACATGCACTACAAAAACATAATTAAGCCTTTACTCAAGATCAAAAAATAAATTAAACACCGTAAAATTACCCAAGTGAGTAACTGTAGTTCTGTCTAATCACTTGTCCAGTCCCACAAATACAATGGCGTACACAACCAGGAAGTCACTCTGCCACTCTATCGAGTCTACGTTACTGCTACAATCCTCAGATGCACTAGTAACCGAGGGTTCGATTTTGGCCGTGGTGAAACGTAAGCAACTAGTATTTTCACCTCCCCTTGAGGCTCCTTACTCTAATACGACAGCCATGTTACATGGCGCTAATGTACTCAACCTTGTCCATAGTAAACCATGGACAAGATTAGATAGATTTCCCACCAAAACTATTGACCTGTTACTCAGGCAATGTTAGAATACAGTTTATGCAATATGCCCATCCTGAGGAGTCAATGCCACAACCGAGGTTTGCAATGATGACTTTTTTCTAGGATTCATGTAGTCTTGGCATGGTCAGAGACATGCCTATCCATTCCCATCTAGCATACCACCATTTGCCAGATCGATATGAGTTCACTGAGATGAGATCATATCCACTAAAGTCCTGTGTCAACCAGGGACTCCACTGTCCAATTGTGTATTTTAACAAGCACCACCCAGCCATGAAAGAGGTGGACTAATCACCACACCTTTTTTTGAACAAACTATTTTTTGTGCTCTGCCAAGTTGGAACTCTCAGATGCAACTCGGACTCCATTAGTTTTCAGGAGCCTACAAGACAACATCTATTGCTTTCTACCAGAACTCTTGCATCTACTTTGCAGTTTTTCAGGATGGAGGGTTATTTCTATCTTGTTGTGTGACAAGATAAGGACAATTCACTCAGAAATGCCCCTGCAGCTCACAACTATAGTATACACTCTGGTCCTCCATTCTGGAGTGACATCCATATGGAGGTATCAGTTACATATGCTGCCAGCTTCCTCATTTCCTGCAATCTGTCTCAGTTGACCATGTCAAACGTCATTGCCACAGATACCACCTCCATCTTGTTCTCCCAGGTGGTACTCCATGGTCTCATTCAGCTAATCTAGACTAGCTGACAAGGTTCAATATTGTTATATACACCAAAAAAAATCCTTATCTATATAGTCCCATCTGAAATTGTATATCAGTTTTTTTTTTGGAGGGGGGTAGGTACAGACCCTCCTTGGGGTAGCTGTAGCCTATGGGGTGATTATGGAGGAGCTTTATCGGTATATAGAGGCCTTTGTGGATCATGATAGGGGCCCTTAGAGTTTTATGCTAATCCTTTTTGAATTGTATAATCTGATTTGGCTATTCTTGACCTCATTTCATCTAGTCTAGGAGGCTGGCAGGCCCGCCGACAGGGGAGGGGGGACAAAGGGGGCAACTGCCCAGGGGCCCGGGCGAATGAAGCCCGGTTATGCCGTAAAGCCCGCAAAGCATCTTTAGGTTATATCTTCATTTAACGATAAAAACCATAGTTTTTGGATTTTCTTTGCATATAGACGCTTGATACATTAAAAACGACTGAAATAATAATTTGAGTAATAATTAATATGTATTTGTTGCTTTATAGATTTAATAGATATTTGTTGTTACTTTATGGATTTAATATATATTTGTTGTTACTTTATAGATTTAATATATATTTGTTGTTACTTTATAGATTTAATATATATTTGTTGTTACTTTATAGATTTAATATATATTTGTTGTTACTTTATTGATTTAATATATATTTGTTGTTACTTTATTGATTTAATATATATTTGTTGTTACTTTATTGACTTAATATATATTTGTTGTTACTTTATTGACTTAATATATATTTGTTGTTACTTTATTGATTTAATATATATTTGTTGTTATTTTATTAACGTTTTTATGCTTATACAGTGAGGTTAAAACTGCTGCTGCTATGATTTTGTCTGGTTTATGAGCTCGTTGCTGTCCTAATTTAGGATCTTTTTTTTAATAAATTCTTGAAAATGTTAAAAGAGAGAGCGAGAGAAAGGGGAGGAAGTTTGCCCCGGGGTCCGTGCTGGCTCTCGACGTTCCTGGAGGCTGGACAAGAGGCGGAAAGATGTATGTCGTTTTTAAACTGTATAACCTAATTTGACCATTCTACACCATGTTATGCCTAATATGGGTAGTTTTGACAAGAAGTTAAGCTAAGCCTTTTTAAACTTTATAATCTGATTTGACCATTCTAGGCCTAATTATATCTAGTTTAGTCAATTTTGACAAGAACGGAGAGAAGTAAGCCTTTTTAAAATTCTTTAACTGATTTGACAATTCGTGATCTCATTACGTTTAGCATAGGTAGGTTGGACAAGTTTGTTTGTTTGTAGTTAAGCACAAAGATACACAAAGGGTTATCTGAGCTCTGCCCACTACGTGTATCGAAACCCGGTTTCTAGCGTTGTATGTCCGTAGACATACTGCTGTGCCACTGGGGGCGGTTGGACAATAGGTAGACAGAAGCAAATCTTTTTAAACTGTATTACCTTATTCGACAGTTCTTAACTTAGTTACGTCTACTAGCACAAGGCAGTTTTAATAAAATTTAAAATGGAGAGCAATGAAGCCTTAGTAAGCAGTCTAATTATTATTATTTTGTAGACTTTATGTGTAATAATAAATCTTTTTGGCTTTCCTCCAAAACTTATAATTAAAATAACGTATTTATAAACATTTTTGAAGAAATTGGAAATTTTCTCACCTGATTGTACATAAAAAGGTAATTTTTAAACCAACATGTGAACTCATCAACGAATTCCGACTTCTTAAGTAACTAAACACTATTCTTAGCTGTTCGAGTGAACAGTGTATCTTTCGAAGATGCTTAATTAACTCGAATAACTCAGCGCCCTCTGTCACACAATTAACGATTTATGTTATAGCGGAGATAGGTGGAATACGAAGACTGAATTATTCGGGTCATACGAACTGTATAAATTCTGTCTCAACTTTCGCTGCCTTAGAAAATGTTTTGTGAAATGCCATGCTGAACAGAGCAGCGAAAGTTCTTGTACACAGTATCATGAAATTTTTTCATGATACTTAAGTAGCATGTACTACAAAAAAAGTAAATGTATCGCTTTAAAATTAACTCGATTTTGTGTTTTTTTTATTGTATGAGATATTTTACTATCTGGACCTATTTGTTATTTGTTCTTTTTCACAAAAACACGATATAAGTAAACGCTGAAAAATATCCTGAAACACGGCAATTAAAGGATAACACAATAACGATAAATAACAAAGTTTCAATATTATATTTTATGTTATACGTCAGACGCCAGTCTCAACTGTGGAAAATATTATGTGTATTTTCAAAGAATAAACGAAGTTTTAAACACACACGTTATTAGTAATCACCCCTTTAAAGTAATAATGCTTCAGTCTCGTTCTATAAGCGTGTAAGAAAACTAGTGATATGAGCATGCGTGAAAGACAGTAATATAAATACTTTGTTCGAGGTTGCGCTATTGTAGTTTAGGTTTACGCTGTTTTGGATAGACTAATTCTGATTGGGTAGTTGTATTGATCTAAAATGGTAAGTATTGTTTTCTGAATGTAAGAATTTAATAGCGCCGAAAGATTGGAATGTGAGAAAATAGATTACTGTTTTTTGTATTAATATTTTAAAGATATTTCAATCATTTGCAATGAATATTTAGTGATGACAATAAAATGTAATCTATACCACGTTAATAGGTTTTTCGACAGTTAACGATTGTTCACTTTCTCTGTAGCGCGAGTGTATAAGTATTCATATTGGACAAGCTGGTGTCCAAATTGGGAACTCGTGCTGGGAACTTTACTGTCTGGAACACGGAATTTCTGAAGACGGCGAAGTTTTTGCTGATGACACCAATGACTCTTTCAGTACTTTCTTCAGCGAGACAAGTGCATCCAAACGTGTGCCACGTGCTGTTTTCGTGGATCTGGAGCCATCAGTTGTCGGTTAGTGGAAAGTAGTACAGAAACTTGCAACATCTCTAGCTATAAGTAGAACCACAACTCTGGAACTGTAGGGCGATTTTATTGGTTTAGAACGGTGGTCTTAAGTACACAAGTACAGTAAACTTTGCATATCATAAAATAATGGAAAACCCGAAAATTAACATTTTAGTATCATTTGGTAATTGTAAATTCTGTGTTCATTCTTGAACACTTCCACTAGATGTAAGTCTTGTTTAAAATTAGTGTAGTTGACTAAATATTACTGTTGTGTTAATGAAGAATCATTGAATAGAATACTTGTTGTGGTGCATAAATACAGATTCGGTCAGGACAGGCAAATACCGTAGACTCTATCATCCTGAACAACTGATCACTGGTAAAGAGGACGCAGCCAACAACTATGCTCGAGGCCATTACTCTGTGGGGAAGGAGATTGTTGATTTAGTTTTGGACAGGATTCGAAAACTTTCTGAAAATTGCCAGGGTCTTCAGGGATTCCTCTTGTTCCATAGCTTTGGTGGAGGAACTGGATCGGGATTTACTTCTCTCTTGATGGAAAGGCTCTCTGTCGATTACGGGAAGAAGTCTAAGCTGGAGTTCTCTGTATACCCAGCTCCCCAGGTAACTTCTTTCACACTTTTTTGTTACTTGTAAGCACTTTTATTCCCTGACCTCTCTTGGGATAACAAAATAAATGTTTAAAATGGAGGGAAAGGTTTTACACAAATCTCTCGTAGGTTTCGACGGCAGTTGTGGAACCTTACAATGCAATTCTAACGACGCATACGACTCTCGAGCACTCGGACTGTGCCTTCATGGTTGATAACGAAGCCATTTATGACATCTGTCGAAGAAATCTGGACATCGGAAGACCATCTTACAGTAACCTAAACCGGTTGATAAGCCAGATCGTCTCTTCCATAACGGCTTCTCTTAGATTTGATGGCGCTTTGAACGTGGACCTGAACGAATTTCAGACTAACCTTGTACCTTACCCTCGGTAAGAAAATCTAATTTTATTATTAAATGTTAATACTCAAGATCTGTAACATTAGTTGTTTTATATTATACAAATATAGTTTTATAAACTTAATCTCCACAATGGCGTGTAGCTGTAAACAGGAAATTAAATCTTAAAACAACAACAAAAACTGCAGTCTTTGTAAGAATTATTGTCCAGTAAGCACTAAGTTTTATAAGAACACCAACTATTAAATTAAGTCTACAAATAACGTGAATGTTCTATGAACTTTAGATTTTGGGATAATTAGCTTCAATTAATCTTAAGTTTTTCTTGGATTATGACCTGAACTTTTTATTGCGACTCATTTCTGATCTATATTCCATAGAATCCACTTTCCACTTGTAACTTATGCTCCAATAATATCTGCTGAAAAGGCCTACCATGAACAGCTATCTGTTTCGGAAATCACCAACTCGTGTTTCGAACCTATAAACCAAATGGTGAAGTGCGACCCTCGTCACGGAAAGTATATGGCCTGTTGCATGTTGTATAGGGGTGATGTGGTGCCCAAGGATGTGAATGCAGCCATCGCTGCCATAAAGTCAAAGAGAACGATACAATTTGTAGACTGGTGTCCAACGGGATTCAAGGTGACTTAACTCTTTGTTTAATTAATATAAACACAGCTGTTGAGTTCTTACTCCTAATACTAATGTCGTGGCGTTAAAAACAATCTTGTATTTTAATAAACCTACACAATACTTTAAATGCTAAGCTCTTCTACATATTCCTTAACTATTGTAAACTACTAAACTATGTCTGAAGTTCTTGTTAAGCCCTAGTAGTGTACGAAAGGCCTCGTCGGCACCAAATGTGATTAGAGGTAGTGTAATTTAACATTCAGTTAACTTAAAATCACTAAAGATTTCTCATTTCCAAATAAAATACTATTAATATTTAATAATGCAAATATTTGTTTTACGGTTTAAGCATTTCTTTATTCCTCTACTTCTCGCAGGTGGGCATCAACTACCAACCCCCCACGGTCGTGCCGGGGGGAGATCTAGCTAAAGTCCAGCGTGCCGTCTGCATGCTCTCCAACACGACTGCTATCGCCGAGGCGTGGGCTCGCCTCGACCACAAGTTCGACCTTATGTATGCTAAAAGAGCCTTCGTTCACTGGTACGTAGGAGAGGGGATGGAGGAAGGGGAATTTTCGGAAGCTCGGGAGGATATGGCTGCTTTGGAGAAAGATTACGAAGAAGTCGGTATAGATTCAAGCGAAGATGCAGATGAAACTGAAGATTTTTGAGTGTTTTGATTCTACTTTCTGTTGTATTGATGTTTCGTGTTTGAGTCTTTGTACCAAGTTCTTTTAAATTAAAATACAGAAATTCTTTAAAATGTAGCCGATTAAAATTTGCATGTTTTTTGAGAATTTTTTATTTTAAGAATGAAGATATACTTACAAGTTGCTTGATCAGATCTTTTCACACAATGTACTTAAACTCGTAAATATCATAACTAAAACATCGTAACCCTCTTAATAACCAGGAAAGAGGGGGGGGGGTGTACCTCGGTGTACTTCTTGCATGATAACGTTCTTGAACTACCGGTCTCCATGCTAAGGACGTATTGAAGTTGTATCTTGTAAACCTTCTCCGGTTTCACCTCGTTACATAGAAGTATGTAAGCTGTTATTAGAAAGTAACTATCCAACCTCTCTATAAATAAAACATCAGTTTTGTGCTAATAGGGACACACACTTGCAGACATACAGCCGGAGTTTTTCAACCGAAGCTACAGATCTGAAGACCTAAATTTAACGTTATACACAGTGTTGATAGACTGATATGTTAACTTCGTAGCGAACTCTAGTGGCTGCTTTCTTGTCCAAAATTGAAGAAGAACGGGCTGATAATTCCTTGCATCGTGACAAATTTCTTACACTTTCCAGTAGTTGTAAAACCATAAAGTATCTTCTCCCATCATAAAGTTAGAAACTGTCTATTCAACTTCCACTAATTAAATACGAAGTTGTTGTTGAATAACGACTTAAATGAAAAACTTTCTATTTGACTTTTTGTTCTTATTTAAATTTCGCACTCCACCTCCCACCAAAGTATCAACAGCCTCAAAGTGAGGAGCATTATATTTTTTCTCTCACTCACTACGCCACGCTTAGCTCTCAGCCTAGTAGATGTTTATATCGGTAATTATGTACTGAAATATGTCCTAAATACTTTTTTTTTTCTGCATGATTAGTTATTCCGAAGAAACTAACTGTAATACCGCTTTAACAGGTACATTAAGTCATTGTAATCTCTTGCCATCAAGTATTTGTATCGCTTACAGTAAGCTATTACGTCTCGCTGTACTACTGCTGTATTCTTAGTATAGGAATCGGCCTCGTGCGGCTGTTGTAATAAGTTATGCTTATTTTTTGTAATGTGTTATAAATGCGAGATCCAGTCCATATAACAATTAATTTATTTATTTCTTATTTTCCGAGACGTTTCCACATTCACTTGTCAGCTTAATTTGATTCTTTTCAACATAAACTCTGTAACTAAAGTTAGGCCTAACTTCAAATATAACTCGAGACGAACTGCGAGATGTATACTTTATTCAGCTTTGTTCGATAATCAGCAACTGAATAGATGTGATAGTTATACTGTTGCGTGAGCAAGGTCACGTGACTAGTGTCACGCGCCCTGCTTTCTGGAAATATCTTGTACCTTCGTGAATTGTCGGGAGATTACTAGATATAGGGTAGTCTGGTATATATAAGAGGGTGACAACGTGACGGGAATAGTGTGTGTGTAGGTAGTGAGTAATTGAACTGCAGTCAGGAAGTATTGTTGAAGTTAACGTTCGTTGTTTAAACGTTTGTAAAAGAGCGACTGTTGAAAATAAGTGTATCGGTAAAGTTATATTCAGAAAGAATAAACCAGTTTTATTAAGTAAGGACTTGTGTCGCTAAAGTTTCGTCGAAACGAAGTTACGGAAAATCAATTAACAAACGGAGACGTAACAATACTAATATTTCCCATTATTTCTCCATGTCCAAATAGAAACGGTTTACTACACACACACGATGTATCATATATTCTATCTTTATTTTTCACTTAGAAAAATTTACATTTTTTAACGTGGCACACATTTTATTAGAAACAAAGGTAGCACGTTTGTGATAAGAGAAGTGATGTTTTCACCTTAATATTCATTACACTACGATTAATATGAATCCTAACTTTAAATCTTTATACAAACAATTTATAAAACGGCTCCAGTGTTTATGCCAATCACCTGACTAGAGAACTAAACTCTACCTGCTGCTGCTACGTTTTTACAAAGTATAAGCAATTCCTCATTTTAACACACAAGTTACAAGATCACTAACTAAAAAACACATGACCCAGGTTGTATCTTTCATGTAATGTGCTCAACTCCTCCGAACTAGAAACATAGAACTGTTACAAGGTAAGGCAAATCGTAGTTGTTTTACTCTGATTTCTCTTCTGACTCGCATCACAATGTACGATTAACAATGCAATTCAAAAGAAAGGAACAACACATTTTACATTAATAACATCGTTCCTGTTTTTGTTGAACTGTATCCTACTCATTCTGAGGAAATAGCCGTTCCTCTTATTATCAAAGATTTCCGAATACTTAAAAAAATAAAACTTACACGGAGAGAAAAAAAATGGTCTCAAACTGAAAAAAAATCAGAACAAGTCTTTTATTTTATATGGAAAACTTTGTCCTTTTCATCTTCAAGTAAGAGTTCCCCTACTTTTCATATTGGGTAACACAAATATGCTAATAAAAAGATGAACATAAGCTTGTCCCCTAGTTTACAGCTGCAGATAACCTTAATTAAATAGTTGTTAATTTGGTGATAGCTGTCTTACACTGTACCCAAAGATGAAGACTTTAAAACTGTATCTTTTTAACTAGAAGTTAAATATAAGATTGTTGTACTTAAAAGAGAAGAACTACATATATAGATAGATAGCTAAACAATCTACGACCACAACAGATATCAATGATATAGAATGTGTGACTATATTAAAATCGGTCAATTTTTAGCACTGTAGTTCGGTTTTCCAATTATCTACGACAATGATATTAAATGTATACTGTTGTAGTTTTGTTTAATTTCATTCCCGGGATATATAACTGTTAGTAATAAAGGAAGAAATAACCTTTGTATAACTGTTTATAAAACCAGTCTTGTGTAAAACTAGTCTTAAAATGTATCAGATGATCAACTAATACTGGTTTAGTTGATCACCTGATACATTTTAAAACTAGTTCTACACAAGACTTGTTTTATAAACAGCTGAACCAGTATTAGTTGATCACCTGATACATTTTAAAACTAGTTATAGACAAGACTGGTTTTATAAACAGCTGACACCAGTATTAGTTGATCACCTGATAGATTTTAAAACTAGTTAGACAAGACTGGTTTTATAAACAGCTGAACCAGTATTAGTTGATCACCTGATACATTTTAAAACTAGTTATACACAAGACTTGTTTTATAAACAGCTGAACCAGTATTAGTTGATCACCTGATAGATTTTAAAACTAGTTAGACAAGACTGGTTTTATAAACAGCTGAAACAGTCTTGTGTAAAACTAGTTATAGACAAGACTGGTTTTATAAACAGCTGACACCAGTATTAGTTGATCACCTGATACATTTTAAAACTAGTTCTACACAAGACTTGTTTTATAAACAGCTGAACCAGTATTAGTTGATCATCTGATACATTTTAAGACTAGTTTTACACAAGACTGGTTTTATAAACAGCTGATACTGGTATCAGCTGTTTATAAAACCAGTCTTGTCTATAACTAGTTTTAAAATGTATCAGGTGATCAACTAATACTGGTATCAGCTGTTTATAAAACCAGTCTTGTCTATAACTAGTTTTAAAATGTATCAGGTGATCAATTAATACTGGTGTCAGCTGTTTATAAAACCAGTCTTGTGTAAAACTAGTTTTAAAATGAATGAACCTTAGTACATCTGTTACGTCCACACCTAGAAGATATGTACCAGGTAGATCTTTACAAGTAGATATACAGCTTATTTTGTGAAAATTGACAGCTCTAGCTCAATATCACTGTTCAGGAGAAGTAGAATCAATGATCGGGTAAGTCCAAGCTTGTACACTACCGAGAGCTGGCCTTGGCACTTGTTTCCACTACAGAATGGCATCATTTACCTTCCATCCCACACGGTCAATTGTCCATTGAAAAACAGTAAGTTCTGAGTGGGAAAAGGAAGCTCTAATTCCACACCAGGCCGGGTCGGTGGGAACACAAAGTTTTTACCATCTGGACAAACCTTTACTTCCTTTAGAAACAAAGTAATATGAATATCAAGGACTTATACAAACAAAGAACATAATTATACTACTGGCCTATATAACAATCATGTAAATAAAACCAAGCAATGTTAGCACTAGTCTTAACTAGCCTACTTAACAATAATCTAAACAAAACAAAGTTAGCACCAGTCTTAAATAGCCTACTTAACAATAATCTAAACAAAACAAAGTTAGCACCAGTCTTAAATAGCCTACTTAACAATAATCTAAACAAAACAAAGTTAGCACCAGTCTTAAATAGCCTACTTAACAATAATCTAAATAACACCAAGCAAAGCTGCACTAGCCTTAGGTTAAAATTCAGTGTTACTATCCCCTATGCTCATTCTTGTAATGATATTAATTTGTCCATCCATTCTATCATATTAACTCCATTTATCATTACTTTAATATCCAGTCAACCATATAACTACATTTAATTATCATTTATATTCATTCAACCATATAACTACATTTAATTATCATTTATATTCATTCAACCATATAAGTACATTTAATTATCATTTATATTCATTCAACCATATCAATACACTCTTAATCTCCATCCATCCAACTAAACCACAGGTTTATTTCACCTTCTACACTTTATGTGAACTTCCATTTGTAAATATACATGACTTTCCGTAAACTATATAACACTTAATCTCCATCCATCCAACTAAACCACAGGTTTATTTCACCTTCTACACTTTATGTGAACTTCCATTTGTAAATATACTTGACTTTCCGTAAACTATATAACACTTAATTTCCATCCATCCAACTAAACCACAGGTTTATTTCACCTTCTATACTTTATGTGAACTTCCATTCGTAAATGTACTTGACTTTCCGTAAACTATATAACACTTAATCTCCATCCATCCAACTAAACCACAGGTTTATTTCACCTTCTACACTTTATGTGAACTTCCATTTGTAAATATACTTGACTTTCCGTAAGCTATATAACACTTAATCTCCATCCATCCAACTAAACCACAAGTTTATTTCACCTTCTATACTTCATGTGAACTTCCATTCATAAATATACTTGACTTTGTAAACTATATAACACTTAATTTCCAATCTCCATCCATGCAACTAAACCACAGGTTTATTTCACCTTCTGTACTTTATGTGAACTTCCATTTGTAAATATACTTGACTTTCCATAAGCTATATATTTGTGTGCCTGATTATATCACTTACAGTTGCACTCAGCAAGACACAGAAAATACTTAATAATACAGTTGTTTGTGTGTAAAAACCTTCCCCACCTGATAGTTAGATATAAACTCCAACAACCTAAGGCACAGTTTGCGGCTGGAACGAGTCAGGTTCTTGAGGCTAGATAAACAGTCAACAACATGTTAATATCAACCATACAAAAGAGGAAACAATGGTAAGAGTAGCAATGATTTTTTTTTCTCTGTTTGCCTCATGCTTAATATATACATTCATTTGGAACTATCTTGTTGTTTACACTTTGTGTATGTAACTATCTTGTTGTTTACACTTTGTGTATGTAACTATCTTGTTGTTTACACTTTGTGTATGTAACTATCTTGTTGTTTACAGTTTGTGTATGTAACTATCTTGTTGTTTACAGTTTGTGTATGAACCTATGCTGTTGTTTACAGTTTGTGTATGCACCTATGCTGTAGTTTACAGTTTGTGTATGTAACTATGCTGTTGTTTACAGTTTGTGTATGCACCTATGCCGTTGTTTACAGTTTGTGTATGTAACTATGATGTAGTTTACAGTTTGTGTATGTAGCTATGCTGTAGTTTACAGTTTGTGTATGTAACTATGCTGTAGTTTACAGTTTGTGTATGCACCTATGCTGTTGTTTACAGTTTGTGTATGTAACTATGCTGTTGTTTACAGTTTGTATATGCACCTATGCTGTTGTTTACAGTATGTATATGCACCTATGCTGTTGTTTACAGTTTGTATATGCACCTATGCTGTTGTTTACAGTTTGTATATGCACCTATGCTGTTGTTTACAGTTTGTATATGCACCTATGCTGTTGTTTACAGTTCAAATATGTAACTACACTGTTGTTTATATAGTTCAGTTATCTAACTACATTGTTTAGACCAGTGGTTCGCAACCTTTTTCCAAGGACCAGCTAGTTCCGATCCCTAAATTTTATAGGCTGCTTTATATAATACTAACTTCCCATGGTAAAACAATGTACTTCAATAGCTATATTGTAAAACACAATTACTTTTCCAACCATCTTGCAAACGGCTGAAATTTCCAGCAGTTGGAAGCTACTGGTTTAGAGAGTTCATGTCTCAACCTAAAATTCTTACCTCTGTGGTATTATAAGTTGTTTTGCTGATTTATACAGTTTGGTTCTAGACTTATGTTGCTTACCTCTGTGGATTACACAGCCCATGCTTCACTATCTTATGGCAGACATCTTGATTTAATCTTCCATCAAACAAGGGAATTCCAAAGCTACAATCAAGTATGACCCAATCTTTCTCTTGGAATTGGTCCTCTTTCCTAGTAGTTTCATCTTCGGCATCTTTTTGTGGGTCATCAGTTGTATTCGAAGAGTAGATGTTGTCTGAACTACAAGAAACTGAATCTACAACATCAAGTCTCTCCAGCTCAGATACCAGGAGCTCTTCAGAATCCTTGCTCGTGATTCCGTTGACCGGTAGGGTTGAGATAGAACTTGCTTCTGGCTGGTAAATGTTTGTAGAAAAAACCTCTGAAGAGTTCCCACACAAGTTGAGGAACGTAGAGGAGCTATCAGCAATTAGAGTTTGGCTAACAGAGCTGGTTAATCTCATCATCGTAATGTAGCCACAGCCATGCTTCAAATCTATTTCCTGGGCAAGTAGTCTGATGGTGTTATGATGCTCCATGTGGTCACTTGAGAACTTTCCTATAGACCAGGTATATACAACACATGAATTTACCTGTACAAATGTGGGTAAGTAATATCATTCTAAGTTAATTAATTACCAAAATTTGGATCAAGTCCACTTCATGAATATAGAAAATTATAACATTTGGATCAGATCCATCCCATGAATGTACAAAACTATAACATTTGGATTAAATACTCCCTCCTGAATTTTGAAAACTGTAATATTTGGGTCAAATCCACCATATGTATATACAAAAGTATAACATTTAGATTAAATCCTCCCTCTGAATTTAGAAAACTATAACATTTGGATCAAATCCATCCCATAATTATACAAAACTATAATATTTGGATTGAAAAAGAATTGTTAATAAGATTAATTGTCAGATAACTAAGAAATACATAACATTTGATTTTTGAAAAACAAAAATAAAAAGTCCACCAGCAAGATTTATGGTATGGATAATTCACTAAAAAAAGATAAAAATTTTATATTCTGATCATCTGTTTTATTTTACATGACACTTTATACCAGCCACACAGCACTAATCTGATCTACTGTGAAAACCTTGTGTTTAGGTTGCTACAGTAGATCAGATTATTGTATGTGTTTAGGTTTTCACAGTAGATCAGATTATTGTATGTGTTTAGGTTTTCACAGTAGATCAGATTATTGTATGTGTTTACAATAATCTGATCTACTGTAGCAATCTTAACATATACAAAAATCTGAGCCACTGTAGTAATCTTAACACACAAACTAATCTGGCCCACTACAACAATCTAAACATTATCACTACATTAACCCCAAAAAATAACTAGAAAAGTGTACATATAAGACACTATCACTACATTAACCCAACAAAACTACCTAGAAAAGTGTACATATAAAACACTATCACTACATTAACCCAACAAAACTACCTAGAAAAGTGTACATATAAAACACTATCACTACATTAACCCAACAAAACTACCTAGAAAAGTGTACATATAAAACACTATCACTACATTAACCCAACAAAACTACCTAGAAAAGTGTACATATAAAACACTATAACTACATTAACCCAACAAAACTACCTAGAAAAGTGTATATATAAAACACTATCACTACATTAACCCAACAAAACTACCTAGAAAAGTGTACATATAAAAGAACATCCATTAAATCAGTAAACCCACCTGGAGAGTTGGTATGTTCAATATCAGAATCAAAGGGGAATGAAACATAAGAAAATTCACCTCTGGTCCCTTGTGCCTAGTTAGAAAACAAAATAACTATGAGGTACATTTCTCAGAAATAGATATGACTTGTTAATAGTTTCCTCATTAAGTTCGTACTTAGTATAAATCACCAATGGTTGACTTTACACACCTATAAGGAATTAATTAACCTCACATTATTCATAACCTCAAATAAAGAAATAAAAATTTGTATAATATACAAGTGTTATCTCGAAAAATATGTACGTACTGTGAAGTACGGTATAAATAGAATTAAAATTATATTAATGAGTTATTAATAACGTACCTGAATTAACACAGCAGAATGATAAAGAGCATCATTCAGTGTTGTTAGGGCATTAGAAGTTGGAACAGTTCCAGGGTCATGACCCCAAGTGGTCACTAATATCTTGTCATAAGCCTGAACAGGAAGTTAAAAACAACTTACACACTGGTTTCAGTTTTTTCAAGATGAAGCATAAAATTTAGAAAAACGTAATATGCAAGTTCCTAATTAACTGTATCAAACAAAGTAAATGTGTTTAAACTTAAATGCTACATTACTATGATTAGACCACCACATTCTTGTAACACTGGAAGTGGGTGTGTTATATTTTAAAACAGTTGCAACGTGAAAAAAACTCTTTTGGTTAATTATCTGATTAAATAATGATAACCAATACACTCTGAAAGATCTACTGGTCAGTAGCTGATCAATGAGGTAAATAAATAGTGATCCTTTGGTCAGTAAAGTAACTAACATTGAGTTAACTACAATATACATTTTACATTAAGAATCTACCGGGTGAAAACTGGTTATCCTGTGAGTTAAGTAAAATACACATTTGACATTAAGAATCTACCAGGTGAAAACTGGTTATCCTGTGAGTTAAGTAAAATACACATTTTACATTAAGAATCTACCGGGTGAAAACTGGTTATCCTGTGAGTTAACTACAATACACATTTTACATTAAGAATCTACCGGGTGAAAACTGGTTATCCTGTGAGTTAAGTAAAATACACATTTTACATTAAGAATCTACCGGGTGAAAACTGGTTATCCTGTGAGTTAAGTAAAATACACATTTGACATTAAGAATCTACCAGGTGAAAACTGGTTATCCTGTGAGTTAAGTAAAATACACATTTGACATTAAGAATCTACCGGGTGAAAACTGGTTATCCTGTGAGTTAACTACAATATACATTTTACATTAAGAATCTTCTGGGTGAAAACTGGTTATCCTGTGAAATGATAAACAGTAAGATCAGCAGCTGATTGTCAGATCAAATAAGTATAGATCTGTTGAACAGCAGTATGATCATCATGTTAAAGAATGATAATAATAGCTACTACTGGTTAGTAAGTCAAACAAAATTAAACAATTCATTGTGAAAAATGTACTTAATCAGGAAATAAACCTCAAATACTCTAAGAAGCAACTTCTATACAAAACCGACCTGGAAAACTCTAGGAAGGACCCTTAACCTTGTACCCTTCACAAGAAGCATGGTTGGTGGTCCACTTTTGGTTAGGGTGTAGACGAAAAGTTGGAACCAAACAGAGCTGACCTGAACCCAAAACAAAGGATTAAAAAAATCTTTGAGTTCTGTTTGAGCTTCCTAGTATGGCTTAATTGACTTTTTCATAAAACAACACAAGAGCAATAAAAGTTTCAAACACATATTTTATAAACAAAGAAATCATCAAGGATTATACAGTTCACTAAGTGTATGCTGGACAGTAATCAAAACAACTTTTGTCTGTCAGTAGAAGAATGTGTTAATAACACGCTGTGTCTGAATGTAACGTGTCCTTGTAGATAACAGTTAGTCATCCATATTATGCAATTAGCTGATAACAAAATACACACATACAAGTCGTTCATGATGCAATTAGCTGATGACAAAATACAGGTTTATAAATGGGTAGAAAATAAAAAAATCTATTACATACATCAAAAACAGCTTAAAAAAAAAAAAAGAGATAAATATAGGTTTACAAACAGTTAGAAAATAAATATCTATTACATACATCGAAACCTGTCTAAGAAAAAAGATAAATACAGGTTTACAAACAGTTAGAAAATAAATATCTATTACATACATTGAAACCTGTCTAAGAAAACAGATAAATACAGGTATACAAACAGTTAGAAAATAAATATCTATTACATACATTGAAACTAGCCTGTGATCAAAAGATTACACAACTTTACAAGTGTAATATTGCTTTGTTGTTTCAAGGTGTTAAAGGCTGCTAAACTTTACATATGAAACAATGTCAATTTGGCATGTAAACATCAGTTAATAAAAGTTTGGAGATGGCTTGAATGGGTAATGAAGAAAACTTTATTATAAAGTACAATGTTTCAATAATATTATGTCATCATCGGGTACAAGTAGTTTACATAGACACAGGAATATATATACAGTATGGAACAAAGAGGTCACATGACCAGAAATTGCTTTACAGCTTAGTAAAGTATCTTGGTATCCTGGGGTGTTGGTTTGATAAATTAAGATAGCTTCCTTTATTTTGTGTTTGTTGATGTTTGGTTCTTTGTTTAAAATTACAGTTTTGTACAGATATATTGTTGTTGTTTTTTAAGTTACAATGGTGGTAAACATGGGAGGTTTTTTTTTATTATGTTCAGGGAAATTGGACAGTTATATCTCATTATTTTATAAATAACGTTGATATTTTGTAATGATTTTAGTTTAAGGCTAGTTTTTTGAGTGAATTTGAAGTGAACAGAAATTTTATGTTTAATGAAAAGTTTTCTTCAAGTGTTGATTATTTTTGAAATGATTTCAGTGATAAATGGTAAACTGCAGTGTAATGTTGTGTTCTCATCTGGTGAATTAGCATCAATTTTGTGTTTCGAGTTTTGAAGTTTTTGTTCTGGTGGTTGTGTGGAAATGTTTTGATGTGAATGAAGGAATGCTTTATAAAGTCAATTTTTTCATCTATGTACTCAGTTGAGCAAAGTCTTGAAGTTGTATTTATAAGGTTTTTTAGTATATTGATTTTTTGGGGGGGGGGTTCTTGGGTGGAATTTCAGGGTATGTCAAGGCCTATGTGAGCGATTTTCAGGGAATTTTGGTTTTGAACTGTTTGACAGCCAGTAACAGATATCCTTGTATTCAAAATTAATAGTCTTTTTTTGTAATTTTTATCTTAAAAAAGAGCACTTTAAGAGAATTGACAGGAATTCTTATTCTGCTACCTGTTAAAACATATTTCTTAATTAAACAAGTATTCTATCATCTTTTCATTTAATAGGAACATTTAAAAACAATGAATTTTAGTAAGCTGTACTTTATAAAATCTAAAGAAAGTAAAAACCATGGTAATTTCCTTACCTCAGGAATGGCAGGACCTAGATGAGGAGGAATACAGCTTGTTACGGGTCGAATCTCATTGCTCAGTGGGGCCATTGAAACTAACAACCTAGAATACATTGAGAACAACAGTTTAACTAGAAAGGAAAAAAAAACAGGTTATTGAAATTTAAGTAATTAAAAAAAATTGACATTTATATTTTTCATAATAAACAGTCATTCATGTCTCAAATAATCCTCCTTCTTCAAGGTATGCAAATATAATGTTGTTCTATTAGTTCAATTAGAAAAAAAATACCAAATTTGTGACAAATCTAATACTTAAAAACAATATTTCTCATTCAAAATCTATTCTACCTGTATTATATTCTACAGTCATCACAAAAAAACAAGTACCTATGAATGCCTCGTTTCTCACTGAATGTGATTGTTTTGATGTAAAGGTTAGTGATATTGTTAATTGTTCTTAACCTTGATGTAAAGGTTAGTGATATTGTTTATTGTTGCTACCTTCATGTAAAGGTTAGTGATATCGTTTATTGTTCTTAACCTTGATGTAAAGGTTAGTGATATTGTTTATTGTTGCTAACCTTGATGTAAAGGTTAGTGATATTGTTTATTGTTGCTAACCTTGATGTAAAGGTTAGTGATATTGTTTATTGTTGCTAACCTTGATGTAAAGGTTAGTGATATTGTTTATTGTTGCTACCTTGATGTAAAGGTTAGTGATATTGTTTATTGTTGCTAACCTTGATGTAAAGGTTAGTGATATTGTTTATTGTTGCTACCTTGATGTAAAGGTTAGTGATATTGTTTATTGTTGCTACCTTGATGTAAAGGTTAGTGATATTGTTTATTGTTGCTACCTTGATGTAAAGGTTAGTGATATTGTTTATTGTTGCTAACCTTGATGTAAAGGTTAGTGATATTGTTTATTGTTCTTAACCTTGATGTAAAGGTTAGTGATATTGTTTATTGTTCTTAACTTTGATGTAAAGGTTAGTGATATTGTTTATTGTTGCTAACCTTGATGTAAAGGTTAGTGATATTGTTTATTGTTGCTAAACTTTATGTAAAGGTTAGTGATATTGTTTATTGTTTCTCATCTTAGGCTTCAAATGGTGCTGAAACAATTAGTTCTGTTTAGTCATGTGTATAACAATACATAGCATTTTGACCAATAACATAATTTATGTTTTAATGTCATTCAAGATAGTTCTTTCAGGCAAACAGATACTTAGAGAATTCTACTTCCTAGACTTGTTCAAAAGAAGTCCTAACTAAGCAAGGAATGATAAAATTTCTCTCATTTTAGTTCACGTCTTATTAAGATAATATACAGACAATTATCACACTGAATGAATCATTATATCCCTCACGCATAATTCTTGTTCAATAACCGGCCACACGTCTCCAGATCAAGGGTTTGCAGGCTTTCACAGCGAATAAGATCTAAGCCAAGGCCACTTGTACTTCCACTGGAGTTACTCGTGATGTCATCTTGTTCACCACCTGCTGAACATACCAATCCTTGGTTATAGCGAAGGAACAGAATTGTGTTACGTAACGTAAGAGCATGGTCAAAATATCTCCGAGCCTCTCCTTCACCAACATCAGCAACCTAGGAAGAAAAAAAATTCACAAAGTTTATAGTCATATCATGATTTTAGTTCTTGCTAAGTAGCCATACTAAAGAGATCCTGTTTACATTTAAAGAATTACTACTACTACACTCGTACAAATATTCGACTGCCTTGCAAAAGGAAAATACTAATGATATTAAAATAATTCAATAAATAAGGGTACTAGATGGTTAAACAGATTAAATAATATTTTACTTAAACATTAGTATCACCCTAACCCACCCTTATGTTAGATATCAGCATATCGAGCATCTGGATGGGCAACGAGAGCTTACTTAATCGAAACGATCAGTGGTGGTTATGATATATAAACAGTTCACTGCTTCAAGGTCCTCTACCTGTTGTAATCAACTCACCTTTTCTAGCTCAGCAATAAAACTATCTAAAGACTCATCTGCAAGTTTCCCAACTTCGAACATGGTCACAGCATGGCTCTTCAAACCCTAGAACACAACAAAATTTAACATCAACCAAGTATGCTGGTACACAGACAACTACATACATTAATAACAGTTTTCTATATACTTCATAAAGCTTTTTATAACTGAAAACTAATTACGTAGAAAAGTCAAAGAGAAGTGCTGATCAGAACATTGAATGGAACACAGTGTTAAAGTGGTGTGTATTGCATTGAACTAACTACAACACAATGATTAATTAGTGTGCAAGTGCTTCTTGTGTAAATTAGTTTTATAAGGCAGAAAATGAACAACATTAAAATCTTATCAACATCTAAATTTCTAGCTTCATTTCATCAATGTTTCATGTCTACAGGATAAATATCACGCTCTGCTATATAGTTCTTACCAAATTAAAGACATTTTCTAGATACTGGCTGAAACAAGTAATAAATGTTTCACAATACTTACAACAGATAAATTTCCCATCATAAGGAAGGCAGTCAAGGTGGAGTCAAAAAGGAACCCAATTCGCTTGGAATGTGTCGTGGCAGACAATAAGGTGGAAACTAAAGCACGAGAGAGACTGTTTGTATTATACGAGTCTTGAGTTATCTGCAATTAAATATGAGTAAGTAAACAAAATCCATTTGAACGATTATATGGGAATAAACTATGAAATATTATGTTTTAATGATTACGAACAATACTTAAATCCCATTAATATAGACAGCATAAACTAAAAACACAAGAACAATACAAAGCAGCATATTTAATGCCTGCTTTTTACAATGTAACTATGAAATTTACCAGAAACTTAAGATGTCATCTAATTACACACTTTTCTTGCCATCATCTCCGAGCGTTACAAAGTAATACCTTGACATTATAATACACTTGACAATACAGGGTTGGTGCAAAGTGTTGATCTAGTTCGTCACTGTGTGTTACAAGTTGTAAAACAATTCTGATATTTTCAGCTGGAGTGACACCGTACACTACAAGTTAAAACAATTCTGATATTTTCAGCTGGAGTGACACCGTACACTACAAGTTAAAACAATTCTGATATATTCAGCAGGAGTGACACTGTGTG